AAATATTCAATTGATGAATAAATGGCAAGTGGGGAGACTATCTGTATTGGGAAAATTGAGTTTACATATCGAAGTGATTGGAAGATGACGTGTCATGACACGGAGGCTGGTCAAAGAGTGATGATTGGAAAAGAGGCACGAGTTGTAATAGATACGAGCAGAGGTACAAGTAGAGGCACGAGCAGTTATTCAAAGACTCAGTGCTCGTACCTATTTATACCCAAAAATCAAGGAGAATGAATCTGACAGCACAAGAGAGTACACATACAGTATTTAATAAGCATTAAATATTAAAAACGTTAGAGAATCTGTATTAAATTACAATGATTATGTAACGTAGCATTTAATTCCTTTAATTGTCTATAATGGCCTTATTATGACAAAGGCAAAATGTATATCTTTGAGATAGCTATAAAAAGGAGAGAATGGATCATTTGTAAGGACACGAAAGATCATCTGAATATACTGGTTTACCTTGTTTTCTTCTGTCTATCTTATTGTTACCAAAATCACTTTCCTTTATTCAATTTTGATTATCAGTAACCCGTATTTTTCTAAATTAACCGAAATTTCACTTTTTGGTTAAACAATAACATTAAAGGATTAACAAATAATGAAAGGCTAATAACTGTTGCAAAGAAAATTCTTTAACATTTTGTAACTTTTCAAAGCCATTCAAAGCTATTGATAATGGCAGTGGTTTCAAAAGAATTTAAAGGATATGAATGTTAATCAATGGTTTCTTATAATATTATAATAATGATTATTAATCATGGCTAGTAAAGTATAAAGAATATGATATAATTTTCAATTATAGATATTAAAATATATTCAATTGATTGGTCTAATAAAGACCCATTAAAAGAATGAATGTAGACATCACTTTAAATATTCTTTTTAAGATATTAAAATTATTTTTCTAACAATCCCCCACATAACTCTAAAAGAATATTAAGTAATAGAGTAAAATAAAAAATTTAGCTGGGTTTTCACAAATGAGCATACTGCATCGAATCTGGTGTCTCTTGTACTATGAACCAAATAAAATAAGATCAAACTTACAGAAAAAATGGTGAAGTTTAAAACTTTTATGAACCAAGATTTTTTTTTAAGTTTAGTATCTTACTATCACATTATACCCCCACACACTTTGTTGTTTATCGCGGTTTTGCGCTAATAGGCCATGCGCGTGCCTGGTTTTCATGAGTGCTCTAGAAATTTCGCCACAAATTTCATAGGAGCGGCCCCACTCCACACTCATATAGGTCCATCCATCAAGTGTATTAATACACCACCTATAAAAAGCTATGGATTAGTGGATTAAGAGTTTAATAACTTAGCCTCACATTCCTTACCGTCTTGCACTATATACATATACACCACAGGAATAGACATAATTTAATAGTGCACATTTGATCAACTAATGACTTGTTATTACCCATATGAACTTACTTCATGGGATCTCCAATCACATAGATTGAGTTACCATCATTGTTGATACATCTCAAATTGGCAAAAGTCTCAACCCCTCGATGTTTTACTTATAAGTCAAATGATCGGTCAAATTCTCTTTTGACTACACATAATATGTATAAAAAATTCTCATCTCTAAGCAATTGCTTTATGACATTATATCTTAAAAAAATGTGTCTACTTTTCCCATTGAAAGATTTATTTTCTTACAATGGCTATTGCACCTTGGCAATCCCAATTCATCGACACAAATATTGTCGGTTTAATTTTTAGTGGAATACACGCCAATAGGTTGCTTAATCAGCTTTACTGCCAGACAATTTTAATAACTTAACACCCTCCAAAGGTGATCACACAACAACTAGCTAGTTTTTTCTCATCTGAATCAGAGATTCAATATCATCACTGTATCTTTCTAATACAGTGGAAAATCCACATACAAAATACTAACTTATAGTATTTCTCAAATAAAACTTGACTTCTGTACAAGTGCCTTTTGAAACATCTTTCAACGCATAAAAATTTAGTTTCTTTTTGTATCATCCGTAGTCAAGTACCAAAGAAAATTTTCTAAATACATAAGTAACTTTAATTACAGAAATATCTCAAATCAATAGGAAATGGGTCATAGTTCAACGATTTTCTTCACCCAAATGACTAAGAGACCCAAAGCAGCATAACTTTTCGAAGTCAGAAATACAATAAATTTTTGATCTTCCAATACAAATTTTTTCTCCAAAAAATCTCATTTTTGTAAGGCTTCAATGTTATAATTTTAATAAACAGTTTTTCTATTTTTCCCCTCTTCTTAGGATCAAGCTAGATAACTCAGGACACCATGGTCCCTCATCTTTTCGAAAATTTCAAGTTAAGGAGACAATATTTTCACAACTCATAAAGAGTTCCACCAATTTATAGATAACAAGCTAATAATATAGCTTCACCCAACAAATCACAAGAACACGAAACAAGAAGGTCTTATCTTATCTATTATTTCTATCAAACTAATACGGAGGAGATTTATAAAATTAACACATTAATCATCGTCTTCCCTTCCATCAAAAAGATCCGTAAAATTCTATTTAAAATGAATGATTATCATGTATAGTAAATTATTCACTCTTTCATAATTCTCATAGAAGTAGCAAAGAACTTGTACAACTTGGATGAATTCAATCATGCTTTAAACACACCAAAGTTAAAACTCAAATTTATTGAAATTGAAGAATAAATTTAAACCCACTATGTTAGAGTTTTCAAGATTTTCAAAAATAGATAACAATAAAAGTCTACATTTGTGTAGGCTTAGGCGCATTTAAATACTATAAAAAAACGTACCTTAATTTTGTGGTGCAATTTACCTTCCATAATGCGATAATGCACAAAATTGAAATAGCAACTTGATTAACATTTCGTTGCTCACAAAAATAATTTCAATAAAGAGTGGTATTCTCTATAAAACCATTATGCAAACTTGAAGTGCATGTAGGTTTCATTTTCAGAATTAGAACAATAATCTGGACAACATCAAATTTGATTCTCCATAATAAAAAAAAATTGAAAATGTCCTTAAGATTGTCGTAAAAATATTGGATGATTATGGAGAATAAAAGTTTAGTTTGAGGCATGTCAAGGACAATGTCCTTAAGGATATTTCACTTACACTGTGATAAATAAAATTAGGCGTATCCTCCAAGATTCAACAAGCTCTTCTAGTATAAACTAGGAGCAGAAACAACAAAGATTAACAAAATAAAACCCAACACTGAAAAATATAATATATAGCAGAAGTTTTTACTCTTAATTTTTCACCCCTCAAAGCAAAAAAGGACTTGGAATTTATAGATAAGAAAACACCATCGCCTCAAATGGCTAGCTTAAAGCAATAAATCTCCAACGTATATAACATTAAAGGATTAATAAATAATGAGAGGCTAATAACTGTTACAAAGAAATATTTTTAACATTTTGTAACTTTTCAAAGCCACTCAAGGCTATTGATAACGGCAGTGGTTTCAAAAGAATTTAAAGGAAATAAATGCAAATCAAAGGTTTGTTATAATTTTATAATAATGATTATTAATCATGGCTAGTAAAGTATAAAGAATATGTTATAATTTTTAGTTATAGATATTAAAATATATTCAATTGATTGATCTAATAAAGACCCATTAAAAGAATGAATCTAGATATCACTTTAAATATTCTTTTTAAGATATTAAAATTATTTTTCTAACAGCTAGTACTGAGATAAATAACAAGAGAAAATTAAATGTTTTCTAATAGACTGGAATACCCCTATCATCAGACATAAGAATTAGAGTGCTCGTGAACTAATACAAGTAATCGGATTGGAAAAATCATTCTTTTTTTTAGTTTCTCTCACATGGAGATCGATAATTCGTTATGGTGTAACACCCTTATATCAAAATACATTGTTTTTTTTTTTCCTTTTGCACTAGATGACGCATATTGGATATTGCTACACAGAACAATAATGTCATTATATGCCGTAACCCAAAAAAATTGTCACAAGTAAGAGGGTGTTTGGATTGACTTTTAAGGTGGTCAAATCAGCTTTTAAGTTCTTTTTAGTTTTTTTAGTGTTTGGCAAAATCAAAAAGTGCTTACAATAAGTTAAAAACTGCTTAAAACAAGCCAAAAGCAATAAGCTGAGCAATCCCAACTTACTATTTTTTGGCTTAAAAATTATTTCTGCTGAAAAACTATTTTTTTTAAGTCAATCCAAATGGGCTCTAAAGCTACTAAATACTAATATGTAGGCTGAAATGTTAGGCTGGTACATATATAGTGGTAGGAATTAAGGTTGCAAAACCTTTAAATAATGAAATGGCCAGAAATTGACTCAAGGAAATTCTCTAACATTTTTTTTCCATTCAGTGTCCGATATTTATATTGGGGTCCGACTAAATTTGGATTCGCACCAAAAAATCTCACTTTGGGGGTTAAAACGATCTCTAATAAAAATTCTCAACATGTTATGTAAGGGAATAACTCTAAATTGATTAATGAAATAAAAGTAAGAATGAAAGTGAATCATATATTATGTAGTATATACATAAGGAAGCTAACAATGTCACATTCGCTTTAGCTAAGTATGAATTCATGGACCTTTTTGAGAGGCTAAATTTGTATCATGAATTATATTTTTTTGTGTTATCATCTATTTTAAGACCTCACTTATGAGAATTCGTTTGATTTTTTATTGTTGTTATTGTTGTGTTTTTATCTTTTATATATGATCATTGACCATAATGGGACAACATATTTCTGGAAGATTAGACTAAATAATATATATTTGATTTTCATATATAAATCCTTATAACTAAAAAAGAACACTAATAAAATAAGTCAAAAAAAAAATAGCAGGACGAATATATCAAACGAGACTAGAGAGGAAAATACAAATAACTTATGCACATGCCTAAAATCAAATACGTTGGGACAAATATGATGTAATAAGCTTTTAAAAAAAGAGAGAAAGAAAAAGAGAAAAGGAGTGTAACATTACAGAAAAAGAAAACCAAAAAAGAGAGAGAACATTACGTCTACGAGAAAAGTTATTATAGAAAATATATAAAAAGGGAAATTCAAATTCTTAGGCTTTAATCATTCTTTTCTGCAGATCATCTTTGGTAATTCTCGATCTCATTCTGTTCTTTAATTTCCTCTCTTTCGATCATTTTTTTTTCTAATTGAGTTGTAATTTTCTTTTGACAATTCCTAAAAGGGTTTCGAGTTGTGATTTTCCATAATTCAGCTTGAAGGTAATATATTTGTGAAATTTTAACCTCCTGAAGATATTGGCTAAAACTAGGGTTTCTGTTTGTGATTCTCCGAAATTCAGTAAAAAGATCATATCTTTATGAAAATTTCCTCTTTATGCTTGTGATTTTCCATAATTTGGCCTAAAAATGATGCTTTTATGAATATTTATGTTCTTTTATGTTTCTGCAATCATTTGATTTCGCTAGAACACGTGGTTCATCTTGTGATCATAATTTATATTCATGAACTAGATTTCTGTTGAAATTTATTTGAATTTATTTTTGCGATCAAGACCTTAGGGATTAAAGCTTGTATATATTAAGTCTGTTCTTCAGCCAAAAAAAAATCTGTTGAAATTTAGGATTCACAAGGGACTGCAATGCAATTAACAAGATGCTTGGTTTCACTCGAAATTTTCTATTGGAATGATTCTAATATTGTATAGGCCATGTTTGTTTTTATGATTGATTTGCCTGTATCTAAAGCTATTTTAGGATTTGTTTGGCGTGCGCAAAAGGAATTAGCTTGCGGTATTCAGAGCAATGCACAACAGAAAATGAAAGATTCACGTTAAACACTTGGAGAACTTTTAGAAAACAAGCTATTTGCTCCTTGAATTCCATTTCTTAATTTCTGGAATTTTATAATATGAACCCCTTTGCTGAATGATTACCGCTCATGCCTGTTGGGAGTGGTCATGACTCTGGAACAATAGCTTTGTGCATGGAATTAGGTGATCCAAATGCAAATATGTTATAAGAGGCATAAGTGAGTATGGTGTATATTCTCCGGCGCCAATTACATATTTCTTTTGAGGCAGTTTCCATGTTTTGTACTAGACTGTCGTTAATAGCTTATTTTTTCTTATGTGAGTTTATGTTGCTTGTCCAGATATATAATTTCATTCTGCATCTTATTTATTGTCCATCATCTTCTTCTGTTTGACACATTTTTATGGTTTTCTGATTAGGTTGTTCTAAAGGCTAATTTTTTAAATACTTGGATGGGTGCTCCTAAACAGAAGTGGACTCCAGAAGAAGAAGCTGCTCTTAAAGCTGGGGTCCGTAAGCATGGACCAGGCAAATGGCGGACGATCCTAAAGGACCCAGAATTTAGCGGAGTGTTGTGCTTGCGTTCAAATGTAGATCTAAAGGTAGAATTTCCATTCTTTTCTTTTAGGACAAAATTCTCTTTTGGTGAGAGGATGCCCTAGTGTTATTTGAGTCGATGAAGGTTATGTAACTTAATTTTTCTCTTATCTATTTATTTTATGCATGAAATGTTAATTTGTCTTTGTTGACGCTGTTCAGGACAAGTGGAGGAACATGAGTGTAATGGCAAATGGCTGGGGTTCTAGAGAGAAAGCAAGGCTGGCTCTCAAAAGAATGAATCAAACTCGTAAACAGGATGAGAAGTCTTTAGCTGTTACCATTGAGGCTCAAAGTGATGAGGAAATTGTTGAAGCAAGGCTAGCTATTACTTCTAGTGGTTCTCCACAGATTGGTGGGTCAAAAAGATCTATCATAAGGTCAAACCTTGCTCATTACCTGTTACAGCATGACTCGGATTGTAGCCTTCTACATCTGCTTGTGCTAACAGATTTAGTTAAATCTTGGCTTCTGCATGATCTCAAATTTTGGTAGTTTTAATTATTTTAACATTCTACACATGTTACAAGTAACAATTCTTGTTTAGTTTTTAGCATTCCGACGATGGTAGATGGCTAAAAGTTGTCCTAGCCTTTTCATAAGTTTTTTGGGTCTTATTTTTCTTGCTGGAAGGACGACATCTTTAAGTGGTGCTGCTTTGCTACTATTATAGGTTGGATAATCTTATAATGGAGGCTATAAGCAACTTGAAGGAGCCAGGTGGTTCCAACAAGACTACTATAGCTACATACATAGAGGTACTCATCTTCTTATTGAGCTTAATGTGCGAAAAGTAAGACACTCGCACGACGGGCTATTAGCTAAGCGATAAAGGGCACTCGGGCTATGGCGGGATTAACCACATTTGTATGTTTCGGAATTTAGAGCAGTATTGCTTAGTTATAATGCACAATACTCTTACTTAGGGCGTCTAACATGTTTTGGGATTTTGAAATCTTGCTTGTTAAGCAACGATGTGCAGTCGTTTATTCTTTATGTGTGGTGTGACACAAGTTTTTTAAGCATTTGACTATTGGCACTCACAACAGTAGATCAACTGCATAGAATTGTACGAGGCTAATTTTGTCAAATAATTTTAAAGTATAGATTTAGCATCCTGTTTAGTATGAACTGAATGTTACCTTCTATGATTGTAACATTAATCTGATGGTTCTATATTAACAATTTTTTCCTCTGTGTTTGATCTTACTTCTCTACGTTAAGAGATGGGCTCCAAAGTAAGGCGCCATGTGATAAACTTTAGATAATGCATAACTATCAACTTTCATGAAATCTCAATTCCTAGCAAAAGTTATAACTTATCGCGACATCTATCAGTCTATTATACTCAGTACTTTTGATATCTTGTAGGATCAATACTGGGCACCTCCAAACTTTAAAAGGCTACTTTCAGCTAAACTGAAGTATTTAACTGCAACTGGGAGACTTATCAAGGTGATATTCAGTTTTGCATCACACTTAAATTGTTGTTTATCTTGCCCTTAGATTAGAGTGTGAAGCTAGTGCGAACTCGTGGATTCAAATTCATGAATGATGATCAGTAGTTCGATTCATTCTGATTGTGATAGCAAGGATTTTTTTATTTTTTTTTTGCAGGTGAAGCGAAAGTATAGAATAGCACCGATGTCAGCATTATCTGATAGAAGAAGAATGCCTTCCATTCCTCTCTTGGAAAGCGGGCAGATGATCTCGAATAGGGTTGATATGAACATGCGCACTACTAAGGCTCAAGTAGATTTAGAGTTAGCTATGATGAGGAGTATGACACTTCAAGAGGCAGCAGCTGCTGCTGCACAAGCTGTTGCAGAAGCAGAAGCAGCCATAGAAGAAGCTGAGGAGGCTGCTAGAGTGGCTGAGGCTGCTGAGGCTGAAGCCGAAGCTGCACAAGCCTTTGCAAAAGCTGCAATGAAAACACTACAAGGGAGAAGCTTTCGAAGGATGGTACGATATTTGTAGTATCAGTTCAGTTGTTTTTTCTTGATTGCATCTACCATTCCCCCCAGTCCCCCTTTCTTTTCTTTCTTTTCCTCGTAGGTGAGAGAATTTATCCTTTATCCTTTGGTGTTATTTTAGTCAGTCTCTAGGATCACTGCTTGAGACCCCTCAATGAACTTGTATTAACTTTTTGTATCCTTTGGTTGACCTTCAGCTTTACGACTATGATATTTCTCTAATCTAATTAATAGAAGTTGCTGCCAAATTCTCTCTATTTTAGACAAAACATTTAGTTGATCTCTGCAGAACAACTAGGAATCTAAGACTATCTTACTACAAGAACTGGTGTTATATTCCCCAGGACCAGGACCCCAGTTTCTTAGTCAATGCATTTTGATTATGTAACATCTATTAAATCTTAACTAGTCTGTAGTTGAGAGCTTCTGCACCTAGTCAAACCTGTATATTAATGAAGAATTAGGAAGCTACAGGCACATATAAACAGTGAATTGTTATGTCCTTATTTTTCATGAGAGATGCTTGGAACTAATGAATGTGTCTGCACTTTGTGGAGTTTGTTATTAATCTTTTGAGGAAGAGAGAGAGCGCATTCCTTCTTTTGCCATATGAGATCGATATTGGATTTCTTATCTTGTTCTCTTTTTAAAATTCATAATTTTCGCAAGGTAGTTGTCTCTATGCAAAAATGTTATATTCTTGCTAATATGTTAGGGCATTATCACTGAGCATCCCCTATCCTGCTGTTACTGTTTCTGTCTCTGTAAATGTGCAGATGATACGTGCTTGATGGATCTTCCAGAGCTGAGGTTCGATATGTCACATAGAGCTTTGCTGGATTCTCTTCCAGTTTCTTATTTTTCATATCGTAGCCAACTCGCTTGTTGGCTTGTAAATATGGTAAAAATTTGTGGAAATGTATAATCCAGTGTTAGTGATTGTAAAGCCTTTCGAAAATGTAGCATATTACATATTCATTCCCCCTCTTCACCAGCAGAACATGGGAACCTTTAGGGAGATTAGAGAGTTTCAGACTTGTGAATTGTACTCAGTAGACGGAAACAGGGTTGAATTCACCTAATTGTTGTATTTCTAGTCTTAGGTCCTTCCGCAAGATCTGAACTGTGAGAAGGCACGGGAGAAAATATGATATTAATATTGTGTGTTCAATACAATACAAGAGGTCCTTATTTATAGCTATACTATACAAGG